ATATATATATATTTATATCTAATATATACGTTTATATGTTTATATATATGTTTACGTGTAAATGATGGTCGCGGAAATTCACTCCTAGTACCATCGCAGATTTATTATCTACCACATGCGTCTATGCTTGGCAGGCATCCCGAACGGACCACTCGATCAGCAGTGACTGATGCCGCTCATAGTACCTGAACTACAATTGGTCTGTGCGGAGCCGTATGTGGTGCTACGTACAAGCCGCTGATGCCGATGTAACCTAAGGAAACAAGTTCGGCTAGCATGTAGATGCTTGTTGAGAGCCATCAAGCGGCCCAAACATGATGGTTTAACAGTGAGCATCAACAATGGTTCTTTTATCCTTAGGTACTGGATTCATCCGCCAATTCCTCCAAGTTTCATCAGGTTACCACGCTCCCGTCGGATAAGTTAACATACGAGTGCTTTCTGGGGATACCCATCACTGTGCCGTTTACATGAGAATGGGTAGGGAGATGGCATACGAATTGCTACTGGTGAAAGGAAGAAGGCCCTCGCTGCGAAGTTATCTATTAGAAAATGCCAACTGAACAGTTACAGACTATTGGACAGGGAAGCAAAACTCTCATGTGCTTCTTGTTTACAAAAACTGAATATTCATCTTCTGTTTGAATGCGTCTTCCTAAACTTTTTCGGATTTCGTTGACTGTTTCTCAAATCCAAGCAAACGCTACAAAGCGACTCCACAAATTCCGCAATAGATCTCACTCTTCAAGAGACGCAAAGCGGATTTACGAGAAAACATACTATTCCTCATCAGTGATATCACCGTTACACTGGTAGCTTTGTCTTTTAGCATGGCGGTAGCATTGAATAGAGTGATTAGAAATCCGAGCGGACTGACCCAGACGATTCACTGGCGAGTCCGCACAGGCAGGGTGGTGTCTTGCGAGTCCGATGTTGCTCAAGCATGTGAGCCCGCAAGTTGCACAGACTCAGGTGATAACCTTTCCGAATAAGGTGGTTATGTTAAAGCAATGAGATGCATCGTGCTTCAAAACTCTCCAGGCCTTTGTAGATGGCAATTTTCCTGACTGTTCTCTCAGGTGATAGATTTTCTCAAGATCCGAAACCAAGATTACGGTTTTTCAAGCGTACCAAAGGATGCAATTGTAGCTGAATTTCGACCGTTCACAATTTCGAACTTTATTTTTCAAATGACCGTAATTAGGTTGCTTCTAACTGTGGTCACTGGCCATTCGCTTTACTTCGCCTATCCAGCGTAACTGGTTGTGTACCAAGGTGCGCCCGATTCCGCCGATCATGGCTAGTTTTGGATATTCAATCTTCTGGATTCCATCTCACCAATGAATTTGGAAAGCATTTCAATGTGCTGTCAGTATAGTGTCCATGTTGAACTTCTATATAGTAATGAAGACAGCCGAGCGTTTGGATTACGATCCAGATCGTTTCCTTATGCATCGAGTTGAAGGTTTTCGTGAAATCCACACACGGAGAGTATAATAATTGATTCTTATTCCGGAATTTTTTCTTGCAGCTTCAAAGGTCAATTGTGCTACGTACGCTTCGTAATCCACATTGCCCAGCAGGGGTGTTTTCTAGTAGAGTACGTCTGTACACAGAGGACGGATTCATCACTAGTTGTCCGTTTTCGGTCAGCTTCCATATCCTCTAAACATTGATGCGCTTGTGGTGTTCTTGAACTCTTTTGGGACACTTCGGTCTCTCAGATGGTGCGAATCGGGTGAAAAACTTCGTTTTCGAATACTGATCCGCCGGATATAAATAGTTCTGGAGGCATTTCGTCCTCCTTCAGCAGTCTTTTCCTTTTTTAGTTCAGTTATCCCCTTTCGAAATCCACCAACTGTAGAAATAGATTTCGGGATGATCCATTTTTTGGGTTCGGGGTAACTTTGTACATCTACGTTGAATTGGTCGTCAGCTGTGTTGAGAAATGCGCCTTTCAGACCTATTGAGCGCCCAACCCAAGTGGTTGCTCTGGGGGTATTGCATTCTCGGTTCCCAAGAATTCCTTTTCACGTCATTGATCTGTATATGGTTGGATTTCTCGACTCCTTTTATGCTATCGTTCATTCTCCAATCTTCGTAGATCTTTAAAAAGTTTGATCCCCACATTGCAAAGCTCTGCTGTTAAGGGTTTTCTCTGATATTTATTTCAGGACCAGCGAACTGGGGACGCTTCGTTTAGCTCAGTAATATAACAGGTTCATCGTGCATATGATCGGTACATTCCTAGCCGAGTATACAATCATTCGACCCACGCTATCCGTGTGTAACTATGCTTGAGCAAAGTAGTCTATCTCTTAAAGAAGGACTATTCTGGGTTAACTGACGGCATCCCACTCAACAGACTGCTTTTAGAAATGGTTCGGTCACATCAATTAGAATCATCGCAGAGAAAATAATGATGAGAAAGTTATCGTTGAGACCATATCAGGTTTCCAAAATAAGCAGGTTCAGTTAATTATGTTTTCAGGAGATCCGCCAATCAGCCCGTGTCCCGAAAACGGAGAACAATTGGTTTTGTAAGTACCACCGACCAAGCAATAGCGTATGGTGAAGTGATTTTGTTTTCTCCTTGGCCTCACTTCAAAATCTGGTATTTTGTTTAACGTGAGCCTAACAAAATGAACCTCACTATGTGTAACAAAATTACTGGTGCTGAGTTCGTTTTTCTATAACATCCACATGATAACTGTTTTTATTTCCAACAGATTAGTATAACAATTCCAGATTTCCTCTTTCCCCATATCACTCGGTAAATAGTCGGCCTGTTTAGAAAGGTGGTGCAATTGGTTGGCCCAAGGCTCAGGCCCTTCAAGAAAGAAGACTCACAATATGGGAACGATTTTAGCGGTTTCCGAGTATGTTCGCCCAGTGTGCTGAGGAATTGAGCACTGTACTTAGAGCAGAACCATATGTAGACGGAATATCCTGGCTTCCTCCAGGTAAGTAACGCCTTACTCCAATTAGCCAACATCAAGATAGATTGCAGTGAGCGTTAATTTGGCTTCCCAACAGTTTTAGGCTATAGAAGACAGGAGGTGTCAAAAGTTCTTTGGAAAGAAAATGTGAAGATGGCAGTTCCGCAGTGTGTGTGGTTGAAAACGGAAATGAGAGACTCAGTGAGTAAAGACATCGTCCTTGTGAAAGATACAGGCAAAAGGAAAGAAGCAAGCTCTGATGAACAGTCTGCTTGTTGGAAATGGGAAAATATAGCGAGAGGTGATCAAGTGTTCGCATGAGGCTATCGATGAGATATGCAGTTTTATCTTGGGAAAAATTAGGAAATAAGTCAAGCGAAGGATCTCCACCACTAATTGACAACAGTAAGGTAGGCTGAATTCGGGATTTGTGAAGGAGAAGAATTTGGACAGGGATGGAACATTTGCAAATGAAACTAACCTTTATACCTGCCGCATCCCGCGGACCTCAAGACATTAGGATCGAGATGAAAGAGAGGCTAGAAAGGATGAACGATCAGGATTGCGGAATGATAGCAGATCACATTAGGAGATTTAGGTCAGGAGTGTAAGTGTATAGGGAAACGAAAACACGGTGGCGTCAAACGCTGCAGAGTACGACAAGTCCCAGTGGAGTATGTTAGCAAAGTCGTTGGTCTGAGCAGTAATGCCCGGTCGTCGCGGTCGGAATGAAGTGAGGCGCTAGGAGTAGGACGAGCAGTGCAGAGTGGTGTCGTCCGCAAGATTGTGGATGGGAGAGGTAACAGTAGACAAGAGATCGTTCGCATCAAGGATTAAACTTGTGGGGTAGATCTAGCACTGATTTTCCGCACCACCGCTTGTACAGTCTAGCTTACAATCTAGCTAATCAAGTTTGGATGCAACCCGAACATGTGAAGTTTAGCAAGGATATCTGATGCTGGACCCCGGCGAACGTCTTCGATATAGGGACAAATAGAAACTTTTAAATAACCGGGGCCAGTTCAAGATTAGAGTTACGGGGCGAAATTGGAGGGATACCACTCGAACTAGGTGTTCTGACAAAAGACAACAAACAATCCTCAGTGTGATAGCTGGTAAGGATAAGTGAGTTGGAGTCTGGGCAAACTGGTACAGAGATAAGAGGGAAGTAGAATAGTTGAGGGCCAATATCTCTGACTTCTGACGTAAGGAATCTGAGACCTCCAGATACATCAAGTATGGCAAGGAATGAGAAAGAACAAAACTACTTACGACTGATTGCTTTGACTAGGCTCCAAAAGGAACTGCTTATAGTTGACACTTTTGATGGCTGGGGCTGTCTTTCGTTCATTGAATTTATCTTTGCATCCGTTGAGCACGGACTAACGAGTAATACGTGCAGCAACCTAGCACGTATTGGTTGTTGACCAGATGATTTTCGCAATTAACTTGTAAACATTTTGTCACTAAACGAAGATATATCAACGGTGCGAGCTGTGTGGGACCCATCCAACTGATCAACAGCTACGTGATCAATAGCCTTCAAACCCACCCGTCAACGCTTGTACAGTCATTATTACTTGTAGATATGCATGGTTAAACCACTACGGAAGTGATTACTTCCCTGGATGAGTCGGCCCATTTCGTCAGGCAGGGCAGCAGTGAGTTCTTCCACCGAAACCGAGGGATCCTCCAGAAAACACCAGCACTAAGAACAGCTGCTACAAGCTGCTACTAACCTGGTCGCCGTTGTGGTCAGGAGCTCGAGTTGGAAAACAGACGAGCTGTGTAAGGAAACTGATAATAGAAATGGACTTGAACTTGGATGCACGACGCTGCAGGATTTGTCTGGAAAGATAATGGGAGTCTTTCGTTGTGCAAACTTCTGAAGTGTAGCCGGTCTGAAGTGCCTGTTCACACAGTTAGCGTTCGATGAAGAGAAAAGAGAGGACACGTCTTCGCCCTTTGAAGGCCGATGGATACAGCAAAAAATATTTGCCGCATCGAGAAAAGTTTAGTTCAAGCCAATGTTGATGGCACGGTTTTCCAGGTTAGGAAGATGAGAAACAGATAAGGAAGAATGTGTTTAGGCGCACACTCCAATGAAACAGCGCTTAGTTAAGAAGTGGTAGATGGTTGATGAGGTTATCAGATCCAGAAATTCGGGTATCAGCGGGGAACAAAACAGAATATGAGACGGCGGCTCGAGTTCAGTCCGTGGAGTGTCCTTACACAAAGCCTCAGATTGATGAACCACATGAGGCTCCTCTAAGCAAGCGGTGGCATCTCTCCGGGTGACAGCATGAGCTTGTTTGGTAAATCGGTCTTTCCATTCAACATTTGCAAACTTGCCCTCTGTTCCTTGAAGTATCATGACATGACTAGAAACTTGATGCGATTTTGGCTGTCGAACCTTGTTCACATATCATCGATAATCGCGACAAGGTTTTCACGAACTTTGTTAAACTTAGATGAGTATCGAAATCTGGTTGCTCTACGGAACGTGTGCTGTTCTGTAGGACCGGCGACCAGCTCAACTTCTACGTTTCAAACGCAACATGAATTTCCGGTTTGTTCCAGTGATCGCTATTACGGAGGTCGAGCCACGCAACTTTTTCCGTTTGATGGTAACGGTGTTGGTACCGTTTCACTAAAACAACCACACAACCAAATGTGGTTAAATTGGCACTCTTCTTTAATGAGTCTTCAGCGGGCTTTACTCAATTTCCGACCCAAATCCAATGGTTTTGCCGCTAAAGCATCTTTTACGCATTCCATTTATGTTGCACCGCTACTCTACTGTAGTCATCTGATTTGAAAAGTTGTCTCGGTAGCACTACAGGTATTTACGTCAGGAGTTACTCACCAATTACAGATGCGAACTCAGTGTTCTACGACTCACGCCTTGGCTTGCGTAACATCATTCTTATCGACTTGCCGACATCCTGCCTCTGTTAAGCCCATGAATATTCTTTTCCTTCACCGTCTGCTTCATTTGTCTCAATTTATAATCTTCAGACGTTTGGGCGCACGGTGACTTTATTGAACTGCACAGTGATACTCTGGGGCTAACTATCAGCGGACGGAGTGATGCGACTTTGAACCCAAGCGGAATAAGGTTTGGCAGCGCCGAAATTTACAATTTGAGTAAGTTTGCGGTGCATCTTGGATGTCAGTATACATTGGTTCACTAATCCGATGTACTGTGTGAATCATGAAAACAGTCGATTATTCTACCGGACATGTAACTGAGGCTTTCCATATCCGACATCCTCCAAAGCTCGTTCTGTGGCCGATGGTGGGAATATGAGTGCATAGTTCAAGATGAGGCCCTTAATGTAAATGAAGCCCTACTTGTGCATATATTCACTAAAAGTATTCACTTTTTGACTGCTTTATGAACGTTCAATGTGAGTCTTCAACCCTCTCTAAGAAATTCGGGGTCACCTTTTGAATTGACATTAGCCATGTGTTTCCTTATATTCATGTTCGCTGTAACTAAGTAACAGTGAATCCACCGCATCTTGTTCCTGCAATGGTAGCGCTACAAAACTACGAACTTCTGTACAACAGTGGTTAGAGCGAATTTACTGACCGGAAGGTCCGTGGTTCCAACCCGACCTCTGCTTCTTGGCTTGTCTTGTCTAGGCTTGGGCAACCTGGCAGTATCTCAGCCATCGTGCATCCTTCGGGTGGCTTGGCGGCTAGGCACAGAATGGGTACTATGGATGGACAATTTTTTTTATTTTGCTGCAAAACCCAGTGCACTTAGAATATCGTGAATGGTTATAGACGCGCAGTTCTACGGAAAACCCATCGGAATGGTCGAAAATTGGCAGTATCTAGCCATCGTGCATCCTTCGGGTGGCTTGGCGGCTAGGCACAGAATGGGTACTATGGATGGACAATTTTTTTTATTTTGCTGCAAAACCCAGTGCACTTAGAATATCGTGAATGGTTATAGACGCGCAGTTCTACGGAAAACCCATCGGAATGGTCGAAAATTACTTCTTCTGAGGAGCGACCAAAGGACCGTACATAAACTCTGGAAAGATCTACTTTATGGAAGTAAAATTTGTTGCTATTCCCTCTTTGTATGTCTTTCAATTTATACCGCGCTCATGGTACACAAATTCCAAGCTGTTCTCAGCTGCAAGCGGTCGGCATTTTCTACACATCGCTTCCAGTGAGGACGGGGCCTTTTGTCTAATTCGATTAAGAACTGACCGGGTTATCGAATCATGCTAATGGCGTTGTGGTGGTGTAAGATGAGAACCTAGGTTCATTCAGCGAATGGGTTCATCAATATCTCATTCATACATCTCATCACTATGCGCAGGCATCCAGTGGTTTGAACACTGGCAAATACCATTTGGATAACAGCCGTATATATCTCACTTACTAAGACTTACAGACAACCAAGCCTAAACATACATTCACAAGCATACAGGATGACGATTCACGATGGCGGTTTTTACCAAGACTTTTAAAAATGTAGTGTTGTTTGAGATCTGACCTCCCCAAACTTTAAGTCCAGAAACCGACTTGAAGTGGTCTTTTAGATGGTCCAGCTAAAACGTTAATCGTAACACATCACTGTCTGATTGCCTCCTCCCCCATTGTTCTTTTTAGTCGAGTCGTTACCCGCTATTTCTGACTCCCTTTGTGTCGCCCAGTCAAATCAGAGCCGTACGGATGAACGCGTTCTTCTTTTCGTCAAACCAGCTGATATCGCCGGCGGTGATACTGCACTGCCCAAAGAACTTGAGGACCAGATACGGAATGTTATCCGGTCTCAACTATCGCCCAGGTTCCTACCGGCCATCATACAGAGCGTCCCTGAAATTCCGGTAGGCTTCTTGATGTAAAGTTCATTTCCTCTAATGCGACAGCTACTCTCTTCTTGGTCGAGAGACTTCCGCTTTTAAAAAAGTTTGTTGCCCTTCCCCAATCAGATGTCGTTTTGGACTGGTTAAATGCTGGACAAAAACTAATCACTGCTAGTTGCCTTCTGCGACAGAGTTTTCACAAGTGTAATCCCAAGAGTGCTTATTCCTCGTTGTCCTATCGTGTTAGTCCAAACTAACCCCTGTTTTTCAAGCCAGTTTGCATTTGTCGGATAGGTACAATGTTTGCCGTACACGAACTCAGCAGTCCGACATTCGTATAACAACCCGAATTTTTCCTAGTTGCTCATAGTCGGAAGGCGTGACCTGCTCTGTCACAATAGGCACCTTGCTTGATCTTGTTTTGCAGTCTTTGGATTTTAGTGTATTTGTTTTGGACAGACCTCAAGATTGGTGTGTTTAACTATCAGATTGAAGATAGTTGTTTGATCCCCAAAGAACTTCGGTGGGTTTCAGACCTGAACTTAAAAATTAGCTTTTCAAGGTAGATAGGAGTTATGTTTTGATAAAATCGGCAAAAGGAACTGAGCGTTCGATACTTCGAAATGACAGCTAAATTTCATTGATTTCCTAGCCCTACCGACACATGTCCAGTTAGGGTGAATTGTGTTGAAATTCGACCTATTTTTCTGATCTTTGGAGGAGCGATGTGCTCCCTAGCCTAGGGAATAGATTGTTACGATATCTAATGATTGGCGTGTACAGTTGAGCTGTCGCCAAACGGGAGACGCTAAAACTCGAACTGACTTCTTTGCTTGAGTTTGTAAGTCATTCTTGTAGATATGAATCTTGGTAATGTGGCCTCCTAGAAGAACGAGGTGATTGTTCACCACTGTCTCTGGTATGTGAGTGCACCAACCGAATTTATCCGTAGTCAGGATCAGCGAGTCACGTTTTCGCCGTTATTGAAGAGATGGACAACAGCGGTCAGATTGTATGGTATTTAAGTCCATGGACGATACTGAATGGACCGGCTTTTTTGTATTCTTGACTGATTATACCTTTGCACGGAAGTGAACAGAACTCCGAGAGCAATTTGGCTACATATCCCTTGTTCATTGTTGTCAAAAGTCACAAGGAAAAATGGGCCATTCTGTATTACTCTTGCATAGTCCACTTTAATCGTTCGCGGAAATCCCAATTTGTTTTCCTACCACCTTTTTCATTGGTAAATAGGTCATTCCAAGCAACATCACAGCCAAAACGATAATGACTATCCTTCAGGATGTTAGACGGTCCGCTTGAGCAGTCCTGTGAAGGCGTCTCCTTCTTCGGATGCACTGTTACTAGTGTTTTAAAAAATGTCTTATCATTCCTACCACAGGTTTCGATTTCCAACTTTTGTTCTCTCAGGAGTCAGTCCAGTTTTATGGAGCAGTATGTTGATACTCCAACCTAGTTCGTGTCATTGAAAAGTTGCCCAACTACTACGAAATACATTCCCAAACGTAATGACTACCAGAATCCGGTTAGAATGCTATTTTAGCTAGGTTACTGCACACACCTAAAAACCGTCTGCCAAAGTGCGCTCCAGAGAACACACAATTTAGAAAATATGTGTTGTCCGCAACGTTCCCCCGAACTTGTGCACCGCTCTAACTTTCTAGCCAGATTACCAAAATAAGGTTTGTCTGTTGCTGTTTGCTGGGTAAAGTTCTTGGGAATGCGGACCCAGTCCAGCTGGTGGCGTCTCATTCAGTGTGACTTTCCCCATGCATTTAATACAGCTGTAATTGATCAGTCCCCTTGAGAAAATGCGGCTTTTTCGCTATAACGTCGCACCAATCCCATTGTATTGCTGTCTATCGTGATAAGGATTAATCCGTGATAGCTGATTTTTCGTCGAAATCAGGTCAGTAAACCGAGGTATGATCGGTCCCTGAAAACCTTAGTCTTACATTGTTTGGTTTAACTTCGACTCTTATCACTCGGTGCACATTCATCCCCAATTCCTGTTTCAGTACACTGTGAATGGGAAGAAAGTTGAATTGGCCGTACGCAGACTTTTGGAAGGCCAATCACCCCAGAAGGCATTTGCTAAAGAGTCTCTTGCTGACCCAACTATTGTAGATTTGTACGCCCACATTGCCGAACTCATTGGACAATTCGACTAGGCCAAAGAAATCCCCGTCGACCGTGTTGCAATTCAAAACCATTTGTTGTTAACATTCCTTTCTACAGAGCCCAATAGAAGGATTGGTTTCAGTTATCTATGACTGCTCGGTCCCAAAATTTATATTTTTGTTTTTACCTGTTATCTATCTTGGTTGTGAATTAGAGGGGTTTTTTGTCGCTTACACCAGCTGTTTAATTCTGATAGTTCATTACCTTTGTTTTTTTCTTTTTCTTACCCGCTATTGCTGTTGTCATTACGATGATAATATGGATTGCATCTATCATACCTGATTTATTTTCGTCAACTTTGCGGAACCAGTCTTAAGAAACTTATGTACCTGCTTCCCAGTTGGTTCAAATGTTGGAATTCTGGTCATCAGTTTGCTTGTGTACAACCGTACCTGTATCCACCCCGGTTGTGGAAGACCACTATGAGTGTCTACACTAAACTGATTACTAAGTGTCTGACGTGGAAAAGAGTGTCCATATACGCTGCAGTGTGAACCGCTCAGTCGTCTGTTCACCTAGTCCGCACACCGCTTTTGCACTGATGTGTATTGTGGGCATGCACACTGCATGGAGGACTATCGGTGTCGCTTTCTCCCGGGTTTGTGGGTGTGGCATGTGCGTACCAGCCCAGTCTGTCTGTCACTGAAACACCTGATTCTATCGTTCGATAATGAGCCTCTCAAGGTAGCCGAATTTCGGCAGGCCTGACTTCACCTGGCACTGGGCTATCGTCTTGACGGTATACGCCGATTCGTCAGTCTTGGGCTCTCTAAGCCTAGAAGAAGTTTCATCGGACTTTCGATAAACTCTTCATTCCAGCCGAGCTTGAAGCACCCCTGATTTTTTCCGTAAAATTATTTTGGTCTTTTCAGATTCATGGCTCGCGGTGTTTGCCTATTAGGCTGTATTACCACGGAGGTCGATAGGTAGGCCAAGTATGCGAACAGTAGCTGACCTTGAAGATGCTGAAAGATATTGAAAGGTCAAACAACACACTACTGACTCGATTGAAACTTGGCACATGTGGCGCCTCAGTTTGGCTTCTTACTGCCGTATGCTAAAGCGGTGTTGGGCGCACGGATAAAGTAAACTAGGTATGGAAGACTGATTAAGTACAAGAACGACGACAAAATTCACAGGCCTAGTACGATCGTACTACGGCCATTTCTTAACAGGGAGTATCACCTAAGGTGCACCAAATATTACACATTATCCGACGGGTAATTCCGAGCTGTACTAGACAGTATCAGTCAAGCAAACGTGTTTCGAAGTTTAAGTTGACCCATACCCAGTCCTCATACCAAGATTTTGCAAATGATTGACTTGTCTTAGCAGGTATACCGGAAAGTTGAAACTGCATTCACCAGATGTTGATACCCGAACCGTAGAGGTGTTTTTACCTGTTTCCGTATCGTCTTTCGGTAGGTCTCTACAGCACTACCAGGTCTTAAACATAGGTGAACCCGCAATACTGATCGCAAAATGCTCATGTAGACCACGTTTGTTTATGGATCTACTGAACTGCGTTCACTTTTCAGTTTCTTTGTATTCAAGAGAGTTTGACCCACCGTAACTGTCGAAGTGTTCAACTACAGTACTGCGTACCTGTACTGATACCGAGCACATCCATGGATGAGACATCGAAAAAAGACAGCTGAGTCCAAACCTGGTCACTTGTGTGTAGTGTTTTTTAGGTGTAAAGCCGCTCCATGAACCCAGGTTTTGAGACAGTTTGTGTGGCTCAGGGAACAAGTATTCAGTAAGCTCATATTTCTGAGTTTCGCCTTGAAGCTGGCTAAATCGACAGCTTCAAACCGGACCGCCTGAATCAGAACCAGTCCGTAACAGTCCACGTCACGGACTTCATGTAACTTTTTCGGTTAGCCGAATCGCGAAGTGCTACAACGATCTTGCCGCAACTGATTTCTGCATGTTTTGGTGCTGTTAATCTGGTAGAAAGACGCGTCTGTTTACCACTGTAACGCCAGAAGCGTGCAAGTTCGCCCTGAATAGAATGAGGATAGCTACAGCCGGCTGAAAGTTTCACATACTGTTCTCAGCACGATAGTGTTTTAACTACCAAGCTGAGGGCAGAATAATAGCAAGGTCTGTGGTTCGAACTCAACCGTTGCCTCTCGACTTCCCCTGTCTAGGCTTCGGCAACCTGGCAGTATCCCAGCCCTCATGCTTCCTTCTGGTAGCATGGCAGTTAGGCATGTAAGGGTTTAACAGCTGAACAAATGAATTGGATTTTCAGTAAGTCATTTGGATTGAAAATGTATCAATCATTAGACGAATTTGATCGAAAACTCGAGTTTTGACGACATCCAACCAAACTAGTTTATTTGTATCCACATTTGGCTAGCGACGGTCAGCTCTGTGATCTCCATGCTTTCTGCACGACATTGCAGAGTGAATGTCTAGGGCGTATGGACCGTAGTTTAGTCGTGTTCTTCCAAATGTCCATAAATGAACACCTCTAGCAACCATTTAATAGTGGCATCTTCTCACCGAAGACCGAGAAAATCAAATTAAACAGACCAAATCGGAATTCAATGGTAGCCCGTATGATACACTGCTCAATTCGAAAAACTAGCAGTTCATACCATATTTCAGACACAATATACTAGACTCAAGATGTTTTCAGGTGCGAATGGTTGAAGTTCGTCCATCCAGCAAAGTCAATTAGGACAAATTGAAAGGGTGTGAATCGACGATGTTTACGTAAAGGGCTTCCATGCACCATCAAATAACCAAATGAACCCGAAAGTGTACAAGGGTTTTAGTCCCATCAGTACCGAGGACCACAAGATGACGGTAACTGCGAGTGATCGAGGACAGAATTGAGTAACGAGTGTGACAAACGGCTTGTTGCCATTTTATTTACGTACTTCACGTTTGAATAGGTACAGAAAAATTAAACCCTACATTTACAAAAGACGCGTTTCTTGTTTGTCATACCCAATGGGTCTCATTTGAAAAAAAAAACGCCAAGTCACATCTTACATAAGTAAAATAAGTAAATCAGCCTCTTCTGAGAGGGAGTTTCAGAAAAAAATATAGCATTCAATAGCTAATGAGATGACCTTAAAGTCGGTATCACCAGGGTGTCTAAGGGCCAACCGAAAGTTGAAAATTAAAGGTGACGGTGGTGTGAGAGCAGAAACGACCACGTTGTGGTTAGATACACTGAACCCGCCTTGGTATACTTCATGGAACGCAGTTGAAATTTAGGTGTTGTCCAGCGTGGAGAGACAGCATCAAGCCTTTAGTGGAGCGACCATGAAAATCACGTAGAAAGTAGTGTTCCATATTCCTACACGCTACGCTCAGGTGGGCACTCCGGCCGTTATTGCAGCATCACATTAAACAGGGATATACTTCACCATCGTGCTTCCTCGTCGCGAATGGAGTCACGCTTACCACTTAATTCAGTTTAGAAAACATCGTTTTCCATGAACAATGAAATAGCAGGACATCAACTATACCTATCGATTGTCAACCATGATCGGTCAAACTCTAGGTCATCCACGAATACGTCTGTAATAGATTCTTCCGGGCGATTTTGCTGCTCCTTGAAATGACATTAAGTATAAGACGCAATAGTAGACAGTGTACTCAAGCGTGCTCCATGAGCCATTTCTGACACAGTCACGTAACACCTAGAGAGAAGAGTGCTATGTTAAAATCCAGTGAACTCCCATCCATTTAGACCCAAACCATTGCAAATAGCCCCGTGCTGTAACACACCCTTTAGGTAAGCAACCTTTCAGTGGTTTGCGCCATGCCAATCGGTGCTGGTTATATACTGGTCTGCATGCCTACGCCTTCCAGCAGCATTCGAATAGACATAACTGGGCATTGTGTCGGAATAAGATACCACTATCAGGAATGACCCAGCATTCCTTGTCAACCTCACCTAACAACACCCGGTGCGCGACTTGCAAGCTTTAGGTAGGTAGCCCAGCCAAAAGACAATAACATTCATGTCATTAGAGCCACTCGCATGCGGTGTATCGAAGAGTTCGTAACTACATACCAGGAAGGCATGAGCATTCGGTGATGAGCAACTTAGCAGTAGTCAGGATCTTTCTGCATTTGTCTGCCTCCCACAAACCATTCGTTAACTTGCGTTGGGGACGAAAAACACAAGCCTATTTGATGGTTGGGTATACACAGTAGTACCGCCCCAATTGGGCGACCTGTATCTACTGCTCCAGCGGGTCCGGTAGATTATTTAGTACTCACTTACAAATCGCTTCCAAGCAACGTCTGGCATGCTACGCAGGTGAGCTCTGCTTACATAAGTCAAGTATCTTCTGAGTAGATAAAGCAAAGTTACGCACGACCCTAGCAAGTTTCTAATCTGGTCGCAAGACTTCTCAGATGAAGACGTCCATGGCCACCAGCTTAACTCATTTTGAACCAGTAGAAAATAAAATCACGACCATTAGTGGACGTTTGGGTGTTGGGTGCATTCTAACCCTAAGCCTTGTGCATTGAGAAAGGGTCATTTTAGCTAACTCATTGATTCATCCCATGGACGTCTACATCTGAGGGGTCTTGCGATCAAATTCCCTCAATCAAGAAACGTACAAATCCATTTGGTGCAGTCAGATAAACTCAGTGGAAATGGTGAGATGAACCAGGTTGTACTTGGAAAGTAAAGTCTATTTCAGATGCATGCTTTACAAAAATTCAACCTAACCACACAAGTTAGGATCAGTTCAAGTATCTCGTAGCAGCCTGCGTTCACTACCTTTTGTATTCCAATATCATCAATAGGGGAGAATCGCAGGTCACTTCGATCAATGGTGCAGCCAACTGGTTTGAGGTGGAAACCAAGTGACCAAAGGATAACAATTGATTTCCTAAAGCAAAAGGATCAAGAGAAGATGGGCAAACATACTGAGATTCCACTTCAATCCTGTGGTTGTGACCAGGGAGGGTGCACCAACCGGAACCAAACCACAATGGTCGGCTTCAAGTCCGGTATTTGTATGGATTTGATGCATGCCCTGATTGAACAAAAGCCTAATAGAATATATGAAGTCTTACCGCAGGCAAGAGAATTGAGACGCAACATTCGGACACGAGATGAACTGGAATGGAGTTCATTCTATGGGCCTCGTATAGAGTTTGAATCAATCCGAATTCATGGTCCAAGCGTCCACCACTCATATGGACCACAGCAATCGCGGCAGGTTTATCCTAAGGTGAGATTGTAATCTAGCCAGATAAAATTACACGTAAAGTATTAATGGCTTCGTTCATTATAGGTAGACATTTCGTGAAATCTGTAGCGTCTTGGTCCGGTGTTTCAATAACACGAACTGTTGGCTCAATTATTTACACCCGGCGTTAAAATGATGCAAGCTTACCTGTGATCTATAATAACTAAGGGCATCTCCTGAGATGGAATCAAAATCTCCGGTAACAAAGTCTGGAATGTAGCATTCTTTATCAGGCAAACAAAATACCTGATTCGCAAAACCATCAACAAAAGCTACGGGGGAAGCTACATATTCAAATCTAGTGATATTAGACTTACAGTTCACCCAAATACCCTTGAATAATGGATGTAGAGTGGAATCTGCGCTGTTCAGAAATATCAAAGCTTTTCGGGCATCTGTACGAATGTACTGGGTGGAACAACAAGTGTACTTGGTAGTAAAACAGAAAGTGGCGTGAAAATCATTCAGCCTCAATATGGTGGTGTAAATGAGCAGATGGTTGGGCTCTTGACCTGAAAGAAACAAAACGCCATCAGAAAACACATTCGAATTAGCAACAGTATCAAACTGAGGCGCTATTTCTACTAAGATGGCAAGTGACAGTCACGGCTTCATAGAACTCCAGAGATGGTATTCTGATCACCGAAGCGTTAGTGGTGTGCAGAAGGGAACAAAAAGGTCCAAAGGAAATGAAAAAATAAGTTGATCAGGTTGATTATCGATCAGTGATAACCGAGTAACACCATACACGGAAGGCTGTCAGTTCAATTTTCCAGGAAGATTATTGAGATACCGAGGATTCACGACGATGAAACAGCTGTACATTTCTGTTTGGTTCTTTGGTATACGTCAAACTCAGGCAGAAGGTAAAACATAGATTTGGATACAAATCAAACTTCCTTAAATTTCAGAAAATGAGACTCCACTGCAGCAAAAAAACGACTAAAGACTACAGGAACCCGCTAAAATGAAAGTTTAGGTAGTGTTTGGAATAGTAAATATGCAAAGCTCAGCACCATATTATGTATATCTCATCCCATTGATATGGTGCTTGAGAACCTAAAGTATCCTAACTAAAGAGGCTGTCGGAGTAAACTGAAGTGCAAGCAACCACATGGAGGCATACAATGCTCCAAACGTCCACGTAAGTGTATCTGAGCATACTTTCAATGACCGACCCCACAAAACGTTGATATACTGTTCACATTATTGAGAAAAGTCAGTTTGACTTCGCCGTTCATAAAAAGGAACCACATATAAGATAAATCCAGCAAATGCATAAGGAAATACTGTTTCCCACATTCAAACAATAGACATAACCATGGTCCAAAAAGATTGGTTGTGAAGATCATATGGACCCTCCAGGATTCTGAGATAGGTTCTAATGAGACTGTTGGAAGAGGTGCCATGGTCTAGACAAAGAACGTCCAAGTGCTTGAAAATGGTTACTTTAAAATAAAGTGTGTAGTGACGGGGCTTAATCGCGTCAACCTCGGTCAAGTAAAAACAACCAAAGTCTCCGGTTTGGGTGGATTTATTTGGATCATCCATAATGGAATGAGCTTCCCAGGAAACCCGTTTTGCACAAAGGTGTCAGTTGCGCGCCTCAGTACTTTATCCAAAGTTTACTCGAAGAATATTCCGTAGGCTCTGTACGCTAAACAGTGGATCAAACTTCAACTGTACACCAAATAAACAATGCGGAAAGTTTGTATGAGCCCAGATAAAGTCTTTTTCCCATAGATGTCTTTGTATTACATCGTCAGGCTTCCTGCGCAAATCTATGTAAAGAATATCAGGTGATCCGTGAGTTTCTGTTTTCTACGTAAAGCTAAACGAGAGTAAGGGTTACATAGTTCTGTAATTCCAACACATTGGTATTCCCAAGCACCACAGGTATATCATCCACGTATCGCATTGGGCTATCGGTTCATTATAGCGCTAAGTTCGCTAATAAAAACATTCGCTAAAAAGGGTGAACTGGCAAACGAATTGAAGTACCGTCTTTGTGCTAAAAACGTGCATTGCTGAGCAGGACATACGCAGTGAACGTGCGAGTTAACAGTAGTCATTCTAGATCCCTCACTGGAATTCTAACACTTGCCGAAGACTCAAGTGCGCAACAGCAAGTGAAATCAACTAATTTCAGTAAATTCGCAATTTGGTCACTGAGTCATCTCGCCGCAAAAGTCGTTCAGCACCGAAATGTTTCACCCGTCGAGATCCTGAGATCCCGCACCATCTCTTCCCAGAGAGTCAATAATCTGTGTAAGTATATGGGCTCCCGAGAGTGTGAAATATAATATATATTTCTTCTGGTTGTATATGGGGTGGAACTGATTAGCATCTGGATTGGGTCCGGATCCTGCTGGAGTTGAAGGCAGTCTCCCCAGGTGAGAGCAATCGTCACAAACTGAGGTAATCAGCAAACAGTAAACAGATGTGGTGAGCCAGGCAACTGAAGCGTTACGCCAAAGTTCATACTGAATAGTCTTTGGCAGAGTGTCTCCTCTTGTAGGTTGCTACTCCTCAAACGTCGACTGCATATACCTCCGCGGCGAAACCCTGGCCTTTTAGAATTTCGTTAAAAATCATACGTTTAAAGCATCAAAACCAAGAGGCGGTGATTCAGCTAGTCGAAATCTTTGCTACAATCGATGATGTGGTATGTGCGTCACAACTTTCGCTTATGGTTAGGATCCACCCTTCGGAGGCCGACATAAGATTTTTTTATACAGGAAAGCAAAGTTACAAAGCCATTTTGAGCATCAGTGAGAAGTATGGTATTCGGTGAGGAGTCCTTACCCTCTACAACGTTTTTGTATCATTCATCAGTGTTGGCAAGGCGTCCGGATGAAGACGGAAATTAATCTAGCTGTAGACTCCTGTTCGTTCTCTATCTGCACACCATATCGGCAACGCTTCGAAGTGAGTGCGTGGCATTGTGGATGTTGATAATTGTGCATTTTCTACGCAGTGATAGCCATCTTATCAGCTGTCAGTTTCTTCCAAACGCTCAAATTTGAATTCGTTTAGGAAATTTCCTCCTCCTGCACCCGACTGGCTTTGAGAGATCAAAGAAGCGGCAAGTAAAGCTATTAGAACAATAAAATGAAACTTCTATAGACTACAATGTGGAAAGGTGGTAACAGCAAAAATGGAAAGAATTGAAAAACGCGAAATCCGAACAAAAATTACAAAATGGCGGACTTTTCCAATCTCCTCAAATTGTGGAGGTCAATCCGCCGACATCACCGGGGATTAGCAGTTGAGCAGGTCCTCCCAGCTCCAGCAGTGGTGGGGAATACAATGACATGGAGACTCACACATAGGGGTTTGCACAGCGGCTCAAATGCAAATCCGGATATAAGATAGGGTTAGGCAGAGGGTTGCTAAACAACTGTTTGTATCATAGCCACGAGATGAGGTCAATCCCAGACATTCCGAACGTTCGGCAATATTGACGCTCCTGTGGTGGCTGAATCATTTCATCGCAATGTCATAGATGTATTTTCCTGGATATTGCATACATGCAATGTAAACTGGCGACCTTCTTACTCGGTCATCAATGCATTTAATTGCTTGCATACACCCTTATTAGGATGATGTGATCCTTCTGACCATTGAGATTGGTACTTTCTTTGTAACTTATCATTACTCAAATTGTACCACTTTCTATCTCTCACTAAGATCTCAGCTTATTCCTCTTCTCTTCATACCGAATAACTTTTGTTTAAAATGAACGAAAAAGAAATATGGAGACAATACAAATTCTGTACCTCGTGAAAGGCGTGTTCCCTTCTTGCTGTGTCGAATTACGCCGGCAGTGAATTAACGAGCGGTGATCTACCTTTCAGACTACGACGGGATAAAAAGTATCTAGGAATATATCAAGGAAGATTCCAGGAAGAAGATCGCTTTGGATTTATTGTGGTGGTAATAACTAACTGTACCAACGAACTGTGAGTTGTATCATCTCGCCTATTTTTTCTCACTTGATTTCACTACTTTGAACTGGTATTTGCTCACGTTATCCATTACAACATCGCGCGCACCCAGACTTCATCTTAAAACCTTGCCACGCGTCATTGTGGAGGAACAGCCAGCTCCAAAGACTTAAAAGATCGTGATGAGTTAGGTCATAATGTCAAGCAGTATTTTGTGGTCAGTTTTTGAGGCGAAGACAGAAGAACTATGCGGCCTTATTTTGGTATCCCGGGACAATGAAAAGTGAAAGATGGCAGCAGGACGATTAGGTAGGATCACTAACCTAGAGATATGCCTGACAATGTAAATGTAAATTAATTTAATAAATGAATAAATAAGTGCTTAAGTTAGATCCACGCCAAGAGTGGCAAAATAGTAAGCAGTGTCCGGCACGACGACTACCTGATAGGTAACAATAATAATTCAAAAAAGAGTCCATCGCTGCATGATCTGCCATGTACTAGCGAGGAAAGTGGAACAAACTTTAGATGCTGGTCCAATACGTTGCCTAAAGAACGGTATTCCAACTCTTGTGAGGTCAACGGGTTCAAGTGACTTCTCTCTGCTCTATCCTGCCTAAGTTCTACCATTGGCTCATTCCAAAACTGAGCAGGTTGGTGACTTCCCGCCTAGTTAGTGTTATAACCTCCATTACGCGTGCTTTTCTATCCAGGTCATGCGATCTTAGGGCTACCAGCACCAATGAGCCACGCAGATTAATCTGAGCAGCCTGAACTTGACGCCTGTCGATGTGTCTTGTGATCATACCCGACCTTCGTGACACATTATCTGCTTGCTGAGTCTAGCCTGATAACATGACAACTCCCACATTTATATACCTACTTGGTGTGCATTAAGTGGTCTCCATCTGTTTTACTTTCATGGGACTTTCATGTCAGTCATTCGTCTCGCAATGGAGGCCACTCTGCTCGATAGCGATACGTTAACATGGCGTTTCATCGTGCCAGCCCCAATTGAGCTGCCTTATTGCCCGCGTGAGCACAGCGACGGCGAAATCCCCAAGTTGGCTCCGAAATGGACAACTCCAACCAACGTATCACCTCCGTTTATCTTTTGTGCGGGCCCTGGGCTGCGCCCGCCGGTGTAGCGCCTGCACACTCTGGTGCCACGCAGGCAAACTACTGGGGTCTGTTTTACACTTCCCCGGCCTAGATGTAGTCGCTCATTCCCAAGGCCGATGTTCGGAATGCCAGTCTACTCGCAGCTAAGAATCCCCCACATGGGTCTCCACACTCCACCCGCGGAGAATTTTCAGCGCTTCACATCTACCCCGTTTATCTCTAACCGGAGGACTGTACAAACCCCTTTGAGGATGGTACTCCTGACGGTCTTTCTAAGAACATCCGGTCAGTCAACGAACGGCCTGTCTACTTCTGCTAGTAGGTTGTACCCACTACCCCCAGTACTCACTTTGCTGTTGTCGCACCTCATTGCACGCCTTCTGGTTGGTGCTAGAATATTATAACTTGTTACGTGTCCTCCGGTGCCCCATAATAATAATAATAATAATAATAATAATAATAATAATAATAATAATAATAATAATCGTTCAGCTGTAACACCATTCCGGTGCCTAGCAAACATGGCTGTTGGGGGTTGCGAATAATGGGAATTTCCTGGAAAAAAGTCGGTGACGTAAACAGTGGTCATTGAAAAAGTAAACTTCATCACACCTGAGGTGTCGTGGGTAGGGATCCAAAATTACAAGGGCTCTTTATATCCTGTGGAGATGACACAAGATCTGATCGTTAGGATTTAAAAGTGGCGGGCACTGACAAAATTTAGTTGCTTACCACGCTCATCGTCGATGTCAAGCCACAGGTTTTGTGGAGTCCGACTCGGATCCTCGTACTTATACATTCCCTTCCGGCCACCAGCACAATTCTTGGGAAGTGGCTGCAATACTGTTCCTCGTAGAGGGGCATAGTTTGGTTCAACCACATCTCCGAACCGGTCGTCCTGCTTAGGTGTTGTGTAGGAATTCCTAACTGACTGGCCCTTCAGAACCAGGGTTAACTCTCTAGACAGTCAGGTGGACCGTGGGTCAGTGGGGTCTTCCACGTTCTGACTACTGTCGCCTACTTGGTTTCGCTGGGAAACCCTTAAAATGGATTTTTTCGTCAAGATACTGAATTCTTATAACCGTTGTCAGCTCAGGTGCGCTATAACAATGTTACTACACTTATTTCCGAACTTGCAGGGAGCATGACTAGGCCGTTGCCATCTGATTGTGGGAGTGGGCAGTGCAAAACCGAGGGGGTGCATATCACGGGGTGAGTAGTCGCAAATAGTGGAAAATATAAAACTAGTACAATGTCACATGAGTGACGGCTTAGTCCGCAATGAAACCAGTTGACGTGAACCAAAGTCAATAAACTTTGTTCGCTAGGAATGACCTTGGACGGTTGAGTTATTGGCTGATACACCAAGGCTCAAAGCCGTGGGCTAGACGCGCACCGAAAATTTCTCTGAAACCGTGGTTCAAAGGAGAAAATCTTTGACATAAAGTTTTAACATTTGATGGTAATTTTCCGGGCTATGAGATCTTCCCAAACGGCCGCAGTTTTGTTGAAAGTTGTTTATATCTACTCAATTCCCATGATGTTCAAGGCCCGCGATATTCGTATTTTAAGTGGCTGCTGTGGCTGAGCACGTGAATGCGGAGGATGATTTTGTGAAGAATTTATCTCGTCAAAGTTTTTTTCTCATTCAATGCATTTCAAGTCGCTTTGAAAGAGTACCAGGCAAAACATTTCGTTGTTTTTGTCCGCATTAACTCCAAAAAGAGCTGCAATTCGCTACTTTTGAATGAAAAACCTTCTACCGTTGCAGCAGACATCCCTGCAGACGAAGCAATAGCCGTGGAATTCGTCGTACCTAGTAAGTTGTGTGTACTTTGTAGCACACGTCGTACTGATTGTCCGGCAAGGTTCAGCGTTCACCGGTACCATGACTGCTTGAGGGTTAATTCCTACTACCTGGAGCACAATCATCCACGCAGCAAGTTTATTTTTGACAGGCACCCCATCAACCGGCGACTGACAAATTGATGAATTGAGGAGTGTTCTACCCCTTTGAAATACGGTGCTCCTTCGTCGGAGATTAGGCAGCACGTCGCCGACCACTTTGGAAAGGTACTCACTATCAAGGATGTGCGTAACTTTCGCATCAACTGTCGACCGCTGTTGCTAAGTAGGCCGTCGGTTACCGTTTAGTCGGTTTCTTAGATGACATGTCGTCCATCATAGCCAAGTTTCTAGAGCTCGGTCGCGTGCTGCTGGTGGAATCGGAGGGTGGCAGATGTAGTCACCTGTGCTTTTCTCGAACGCAGCAGACAGCACTGTTTAGACGTTTCCCGGACGTCTGCACAAGCAGCTTGATCGGTTGGTTGGCAAAGTGAAGCTTCTGGAACCGCGTAAGGCTGCTGGGTGCATGAAGCGTCTGATTGTCCAAAGCCAGTTGATGTTGCGTCAAAATGCAATTAGTGCCCAGGACAACCAGCCTCTGGTGTTGGATGGCAACCGCAACTAACCACGGTGGCGTTATACATCAAACGACGCTGTTCCCTGTGGTCTCTGTGGCCGGCCAACTGACCCTGTGGATTGGTGTTGTCAATGTGATCGACTTCCATATCACCGTTATTGCTGCGGCAATGAGACCTGCCCGCTGTGTGGAGAAAATCTTCGGGCGCATCCACCAAGTGAGTGCACATGTATAAATTAAACTATTCCCATTAGTTGCCGGTTAGTCTACCTACCGTTCAGCTAAAAGAGCTTGCTTTTTTGTTGATCTTGATAGGTCCACGGAGGTCAAGCCGAGTCTGCCCCGTAAGAAAGTCGCAATAAA